CGGCCTTTCTAATGTGGTCTGAAATATCCGGGGTCTTTGGAGTGACCATCAGCTCCTTCTGGAGGCTGATCCCTTCCCAGGCCACTGATGGACCCAGCCCTCCCCCATATGGCCTCCATGTACCATTTTGTGGTCATCCAGGGTCATGGGTATCAAAGGTGTAACCCCTGGACCCTGGGCCTGCCAAGCCAGTTCTTGGTCCCCATGTCTTCTGTCACAAAGGTTCTACCTCATTAATTAAGTCCTCCAAAGATGCAAACTCTTCTCTCCTGTGGGCCTAGCAGAGCTGTTTGTCTTGGTCTTCTTCCTGAGGCCTGGCTTTTCCTTCCACTGAATTCCCAAGCAAGCACAGAGTCACGAAAATGAGCCGAAAGAGCCCCCACCCAGGGCTTTTGCTCTGACAATGCCCAAAATGCTCCTCCGTCTTTTCCTATAATATTCAAGCCCCTGTTTCTGCCTTCCTCCTGCCACAGCTCAGGGTCCCTAGCACCTAAAACACTTCCACCAGAGCTTCCCACTTCCTGCTGTCCTGTCCAGAACCCACGGAAAGTCTTTGGCCCACACATTATGGCCATCCCAAGGGCCGATCTGTGAGTGGGGAGGCTGCCTGGACTTTTGTGTGAAGCTCCATGAGGACAGGGACTCCTGGCATGGTCTCACTCATGGCAGCGACCTCAGCTCCCAGTAGGGGCCTGGCATATACTAGAAATACCCATCAGGGATTGTTTGTTAATAATGAGGAGACAAAGAGTTGATTAACTGATCTTTCTTCATTCATGTCATTTCTCAGGAAATATTTTTGAGTAACCGACTGTGCACTGTTTACAGGGTATACACAGATGCAGTGCTATGATCCAGGTCAGAAAGAAACTTAGAGTTTAGGGAGGATGCATCCTGGGAGCAGTGTCAACCCAGTATGGTCGCTGGCTACTGAGTTTATGACAACCAGGTGCAGTGGCTGTATCCACCAAGGAGCCAGCCCCTTGGTGGATTTCGCCAAGGAGAAATCGTGGCAGCTACAGCAAGCAGGCTGCCCTTAGGTTGGGTCTTGAGGGACAGAAAGGAGCTGGTGAAATTGACAACCAGAGATGGGAAATTGGGAGGAAGGCTCATTCTGAAGCTGGATACAACATTTTTAAAGGCATAGAATATTAACATATTTCTAGTAGATAACACTTTCTGAGTTCTTACATCAAAAAACTTGCTTGTAGCAGATATTCAATGACCATTCATTGGATTGGGTACGTGGATGGATGAATGGATAGATGAATAAACATATATATAAAACTGAAAATATATAGTT